AACAAATAAACAAAATTACAATATTAAAATACAATACAACAAATAAACAAAATTACAATATTAAAATACAATACAACAAATAAACAAAATTACAAATTTTACTTCTTCTTCAAATTTTACAATAAAAAATTAAAAAAAAATTGTCTTACCTTACGTAGTAAGAAAAAAAAATGGTATTACTCCATTAACGTGTAAATAATAATAATAATATTAATCTATATATTTTTTCTTATCAATTATTTGGTTAGATAATATATGATTATGATACACTCATTGTAATAAGAGTATTAACAAGAAGTGCATAATGAATAATGCGTTTACAGAAACATGTATAGGTTCCACTTTATTTTTTCGTTCAATTACCTAACGTTACTTAGGATCGTACCTATCGTATTTCAGTATTAATGATCTTTCTTTCTTTTTCTTTTTATTTTATCTTTTCCTCTTTTCTTCTTGGACGTCTTAAAAGCATTTTCACACACAAGGCTCGAATGTGTTACCGGAAACCATTGGAATTAGTTATTTGAGTTCGTGTTCTTGAATTAACGATCGGTATTATCAATGTTATCAGTTTCACAATGTTCTACATCATTATTTTTTATTATTATTATTACTATTATTATTATTATTATTATTATTATTATTATTATTATTATTATTATTATTTTAATTGATTTTTGTTTTGAATAAGAAATAATCGAAGAGTTACCAGTTGGCAAAAGAGATTTAAAATGGGTTTTTTTTTTATAATCGGGAAACATTAAGTAGGTTTAATTCATGTACGTTTGTGTTTTCATCCTCTATGGTATAACATCCATTCCTAAAAACCGTGTTCAGAATAGAAAACACGGTGTATGAGACTTGGCAATATGCCCACCATACTATATAACACATATATATATATAATATTACAGTTTAGCATATAAATGTTGCTAGCCAAAAAACATTTTCCTACACTTCTTGTTTTTTTATTCTTTCTTTCTTTTATTTATTTGTTTCGTTTCTTTTCTTTCCTTTTCTTTTACATTATTCGCTACATTACATTTTACTTTCTTTCAGATTCGACGTTAAACTTGCATAGGATTTGTTACCCCTTTCTTTTTCTTTGCTTTCTGATATTTTATCTTGTTTGGTATTGTCTGGTTCCAAAAAAGAAAAAAAATAAACAAAATAGAACATGTGTAGAAACAGAAAAAAAGCCCTGATAACAGTTTTGCCATTGCAAATGCATATAAGTAATTACAACACGTATGAATATTTAAACATTGAGATATCAGTACGGAACAAATGACATTTTCTTTTTTTCAAAATTATCTTCTCGACTGTAGATCAAAATTATTTGTTTAAAACATAATTTATTATTTACTTACCATTAGTTTTTTTATTCGACATATTTTACATCATACGAGCTGTGTCATTAAAAAAGTGTAATCGTCGATTAAGTACTTAAAAAATGGTTTTATACTTTAACAACATTTAAATTAAAAATTTTTCATTAAATATTCAGAATTTTATTTGTTTTTTTTTTTTTTTTGTTAAACATAATATATTATTTCTTACCATTAGTTATTTTATTCAACATATTTTAACGAACTGTATCATTAAAAAAATGCTATCATCATTAATTATTGTGTGTGTGTGTGTGTGTGGGTTAAGTACTTAAAAAATAATTTTATACTTTAACAAAATTTAAATTAGATAATTTTAATTAGATATTTATAATTTTATTTGTTTTTCTTTTTCTTAAATAATACATTATTTCTTACCATCAGTTTTTTATTCGTTTTTATGTCATACGAACTGTGTTTAATAATCAATGAATGATCTATTAAAAAAAAAAAAAAAATGATTTAATTATCGAGTGAAGTAATTGAAAAGTTGTTCTATACTTTAACAAAACTTTTAATTAGATTATTTGTTTTTACTTTGAATATTTATCTTGAAGAATGTTTATCGTTCACATATTATTTCATTACTCTTTCACTATTTTGTTGACATTTAATAAATTTGAAATAATCAAATATATTCATAAAGAAAATTTAGTTGAAATGGAAAAATCAGAGAAGAACTGGCATTCATGTTGAATATTTCGTTGAATATTTTGATATTCCATACTCAACACATTTTTTTTTATTCATATATACATTTTATCTTGGTGTTTGTATATGCGTGTATACGTGTGTGTATGGTAGAAAGATATAAAGTTGATCATCATGGAGTTTGCAATGGTGCTCGAGGGAATCTTTACATTTTAGAAATCCAAAAGCTGTCATAAGTCAGATCTGAGAGAGAAAACGGTCCACTTACCATTCTATATCACAAAGATGTAAGAAAAACGTAAGAAAGAGGGAGAGAGAAAGAGAGATGTTAAGAGTGGTCCTATGGGAGTCTGTATTAAAGATACCAAGCGAGACAATTTATCACTAAGATATTCCGAGATACAGGTTTGCTCTGTGGCTACGTGATTCTCATAACCGCCAGTAAGGGAAAACTATTCTCGATTAAGGACAACAATATTTAGAAAAAGAAATGAGAAAGAGAGAGAGAGAGAGAGAGAGGGAAGGATGAAAGAAAGAAAGTATAGGGAAACAGCAATTCCTTGATACGAAACTGTGACAATCAGGAATAGTAATCTACGTACTCTTGTAATATTTTTTATCCTTTTTTCTTTTTTCAATGTGGGTTAATATATTTTTATTTTTATTTTTGTAATTTCGAAAGTAAGTTTCTAGAATAAGGTGTGTACAAAATTGTCAAATTACTTGGAACAAATTTGAAACAATTCGTGATACTTTAAAAATAAATTATATATTTATTATATAAATTATATAGTATTTAAATTAATGAATATATAGAAATATATATATATATATTTTTTTTTATTTTTAATTGTAAAGTAATTTATTTTACGATAAAGTGTGTTCAAAGTTGTCAAATTATTTGGGGCAAGTTTGGAACAAATTTGAAATAATTTATGATACTTTAAAAGAACAATTATTTATTTAATACATAAATTTAATATAAATACTATTTACTACATTATATTATATATATTTATATATTAGTTTAATATAAATTTAATATACAAATTATATAATATATAAAAATTTATATATATATTTTTTTATTTTTAATTTTTAAAAATAACTTTCTATAATAAAATCTAAAAAAAAAATGTGTTATTTGTATTATTCTGTTATATTATTACTAAGCTCAAAATTATGTATAGTTTTCTGTTACTATTTTTATTTACAAAAAAAAAAAAATATAATTTATGAAACTAAAAGAAAGATGTGAAACGTTGGCCTGTTTGTTTCATGACGATTAATTATTCGGATACTGTAACTTTTAATCTCTCTCTTTCTCTCTCTTGGGTATTACACTTTAAATAAATAAGTTGTTTTAATCCTAACGAAAGTGAAAAGTATCTGTCGTCGTGCCTTTGGTTGTTATAAAGCCAATTGGAAACTCTTTTACCGTCGATCTTGCATTTTCTCTCGCTAAGAGAGAAGCAAGAGCTTTAAACAAGATTAAGAGGTTTCGGAACAATCACGTCGTATCTCTTCTCTTGATCTGAGCCGAACAAGGTTAACGAATTAACCTTGATTTATCTGATCATCCATTAAGATTACCTACCGTAACTCACCTAGTTCACATACATATATTCAACCTATTCTATCTCGTTTTGATGCTTTTTAGCGGAGTCTTCAAACCCAACCTCAATTTCTATGTTAAAAAGATTCTTTAAAATCAAGAGAAAGAAAAAACTTCAGAGAAAGAAAGAAAAGTGAAGATTCTCTGTTCTCTGACGTTTTTTATTTTTTATTTTTTTTTTTTTTTTTTTTCATAGAAATATTACGAAACTTTTTGAAATTCTATCTTGTTAGAATCATTCAAAAAAAAAAAAGAAAAAAAAAAGAGATCTGTTTCGTTAAATTAAATAATTCAAGTTTTCGTTGTATCTATATAACAGTTCGTGTGAAATGTATTTGTATGTGTGGGTGTGATTGTAAAGATAGATATTCAAGAATCGCAACGGCAAAACTACAAATAAAAAAATATGTTATTTAATAATTAAATAACTAATAATTTCTCATATATTTCTAATACTCCTTCGAAAAAAGAAATGGATATAATTTGTAATAAATAATAAGTTAATTTTTATAATACTAATTATAACTAAACAACTATATAATATAAATAACTAATTATATACTTATTATTTATTAGAAATTATTTCTAATAAATAATAAATTAATTCTTATAATATTAAACAATATTTTGGTGCATATTTACCGAAACCAACTACGAGATACTTTTTTATTAAAAAATAAAATACTGTTACACTGTGCTTATCATCATTACTCAATAAAAACAAATTTACCAGTAACAATTAGATCAATTCGTTAGATAAACAAATAAATACAAATTTAATATTACAGTGAATGAAATTAATCTTTGGATTGTAAAGAACATTAAAATCTAAAAAAATAAACGAAAAAGTATTGAATCAGTAGGACAATTGCACTTTCAACTCCTACAACTGCACACGTTAGTTTCGCAACATTAAACACATGAAAATAAAAAAGAAATGTCAAAGGGTTACTGACCTTAACGTTTCCGTATTTCCAAGTAAATAGAGCAACGGCAGGTAAACAAGCGATGACGCAACATTCCAATATAAGTATAGCAGTTCTCATAAGCCAATTCAAGGACACGACACATGCCGAACCATCGACGCATGATTCGCAACCCTCAGCGCAAGGTAGACACTCGAAGGAATCTTCTACAGCGTATTGACTTTCCTCGCCCTGTAAAAAGGTTAAGCAGAAGAAAAAAATAAAAATGGGGGAATGGCTAGATAGATGGATGTATGTGTGTATGTATGTCGCTTATGCGAATCATAATTTATCTCTTTTGTTGGCAAGGGAACCGAGACTTTGACGGTTTTCCTGTTATTAGGACCGTCGGGGAATCTTCGAGTTAACTTCTGTCGTGTTTGCCGATGCATCATTTTGACAGGTTTTCTTTCGTGAAACTTTAGTATTCGATCATTCATCTCTTAACATCATCGAATACTTTGATTATTCGTTTGTTCCCCTATACCACCCCTTTTCCACCCTCCAAAACAAAATTCGATGAATCTTAATAAAAGTCATACGTGAAATGACGAATACAAGATTTATTTTCTGTTCTAAAAACAAACAAAAATAAACAAACAAATTAACATTTTGTTTATTATTAAGTATTTAACATATTGACTGTCAAATTATGAGATATTTGTAGTGTGTCTGTGTGCTGCAATTTTAGATTTAATTACAAATAATTTGAGTTAAGAATTATTGAAATGTATAAATAATCAATTTTTATATATTAAAGTAAAAAACAATATATATATATATAATTATCAATTACTGTAAATGAAATTACAATTAATATTACCTATATATAATTATATATTATATTATTATATATAATATATAAATTATTATATAATATTAATTATATTATATTATAATTATACTATATATTGTAATTATATATTATATTGTAATTATATATTATATTATAATTATATATAGGGGTAATATTAATTGTAATTACATTTACAATTATTGATTATTAATTTCCTATATAATTATATAGGTAATTAATATTATTATTATTTTGTAAAATAATTTCGTGTAATATTTAAAATAAAACCTTGACACCACTGGCAGTCAATGGGTTAATATACTTTTTTATATGACGTAAAAAAATATATTAATTATCAATTATTTTAAATGGCATTACAATATTATATATTAATAATTTAATATTATTATTAACTTGTAAAATTTCATGTATTCTTTAGCTCGAAATATGCCTGACAATTAATGGGTTAATATACTTTGAAAAAAATGCAACAACTGAACTTACATCGATCATCTTTTAGTCTTATATGAAAATACATATATGTGATAACATAATGACAACTTTCTGTCAACATTATGATTCATCGTTTTCAACAATTATTATAATTTTAACAACTTTTCAAATGCAAACTTTCCATCCGACTCGTACAAAATGTAGGATATGTATACCCCATTTTTTTCTTTTTATCACAAATTCTCTCTTGTTCAGTAGTTGTAATAAAAAAACAAAAAAAAACAATGAAAAATATATGAGAAATATAAATAAAAAAAGTAAGTAGAAGTTGTAGGAGATATCCTTACATATATTCCGACAAATATAAGTTAACATAAATACATTAAAAAGTTGTTCAATTGTAATAAAAAGTAGAATTTATTCGGATAGTCTAGTAGGATGGTAGTGGTACAGGTGTATAACATAAAAATGTGAATGCATTTTTAAACTACAAAAATAAGAAAATATTTTCACATATAAAGATAAAGTACCTGCTGTTCTTGTTGTTGTTGTTGTTGTTGTTTTCGAAGTAGTTGAATGAGGTTTTACTACCCAATTCTCTCTCTCTCTCTCTCTCTTTCTTTTCTTCTTCATCATCCCCTTTGTCTCTTCCACCCTCTCCTACATTTTCCTTTTCACAATCTAGTCATCCCTTTATTTCTTATTCTTTTTCAACGACCACTATCTCAACACACCATACAACAACTCCAAACTTGCTCTCACTTTATTTGAAAAGAATCAATGGCTTCAAAAGCTCGACATACTGCCAACAACAACAACAACAACAACAACGACGACGACAACGAGTATTTTCGTCTTTATACGTTTTGATTCGAGTCCTAACCAAGGATCAAGCAAAGTCTCTCATTCATGTATTGCATTTTACGAAATAAAATTTAAATGCATGAAGGTAGTAAATCCTTTCTTTCCAATTTAAAGAAAAAAAATATTCTCACATGTTTTTTATTATTCACATTTTCTATTTCAAACTATTATTCAACGTTAGAATTTTTCACGTATTCATCGATTTTATTATCTTTTTTTTTTTTAGACACCTCCAACCCTAACTCGGTTTCCTAAATTATTAATAATTCATTGTTGTTGACCAGGAATCATTGAATTCGAAGAGAAGAAACGTGAAAAATGGAATAATGGTGAAAAACATATTTTGACGTAACGGTGATTAACTTTCTCTCTTTCTCTCTTTCTTTCAAAATCATTATGAGAAATTTACGAGAGTATGAGAGAGTAATGAAAGAGATGAGAAGAGGGTGGGGATGAGGCATACGTGTAGGAGCGTAAAAATTCGATAAAAAGTGGATTCTCGATAGGTCAACGTTGAAATTGGAATTTCGTAGCCAACAGACTAATAAACGGTGAAACAAAAACAAAAAGAAAATGAAAAAACAGGAACATGTGCATTTTTGAACTACAATATAATCCAATAAGCGACGAAACGCCGATTGCATTCTTTTTTTTTTGTTTTTTGCATCATTTGCTAACACAAAAATTATTTCCGTTTAATGTTTAACACGTTCATTTTCCATGTGTCACGTGTATCACCGGTGGTACATTTACAATTACCATTACAATTACAATTATTTATTTTATGAACTGAAAAAATATATATTATATTTATTATAAATTTAATTGTGTAAAAACAAAAGATTTCTATATTTAAAATATATTTATATTTATATATTATATTTATATACATAACATTATTAATATATAATAAAATATATTATATAAATATATATTATATATAATAATA